GACTCAGAACAACACCAAATTAAGTTTGCATAGGTTTCAGGAGGTGGGCTAATGATTGCAAGCATTAATCTGTTCCAATTGGAACGGATTAACCGGTTTTCAATGCATTCCTATGGGAAATGGTGTTTCACTTAACGATGTTTTCACATAACGATTTTTTTGATGGAACCAATTAACATCGTTAAGCGAGGCACCACTGTAATTTTAAAACCGATCAATTTGAGGAAGAACACAGGAGGGTTGTTCCATTAAAAGCCCTGCCCTGAACAGCTAATTGGTTGTCAGAGGTGGCTTTTGGAGCAAAGCCATTAGGGACATAGAAAGAGCCTCCCCAAAGAGTGGGAAAGCCATTAAATCCTTTATTTTCACAACACTACTGAACCCACCCACTTTGTGGATGCTGACACCCAGGACAACAGCCAAAGTTGAGGAGATGTTTCTACATACATCTCAGGCTCTGTCTGCTTCTGTTAAAATTGTCTGGCTGTCTTGGCATTTTAATTTTTTATTTTATTTTATTTTGCGTGTATTTCATTTACATCCATGATTATGAATTGTGCAATATACTGATACAAAGAAAGAGAGAGAGAGAGTTGGAACAATACAGTGGTGCCTTGCAAGACAATGTTAATTCGTTCCGCAAAAAAATGCTGTCTTGCAAAAACATCGTCTTGCAAAACGCGGTTCCCTATTGGAATGCATTGAAATCTATTTAATGCGTTCCAATGGGGAAAAATCGTCGTCTTGCAAAAATTGTCCATAGAAAACATCGTCTTGCGAAGCCCAACAGCGATCGCAAAAACCAATCGTCTCGCGGATTAATCGTCCCACGAGGCACCACTGTAATTGATTAATGGTGAAATAAAAAGGTATTTGCCTGCTGGTGGAAGAACAAAGAGATGCAACCATTCTAGCCTACCTTAGAAAGAAATTCTTCAGCATTGGAACAACATTGAGAAGGCCAAAGTGAAGTTCTTAACAGAATGATTCAGAGTATGCCTTATATGTACAGTACCTGGTGTGCATGTGTCTGCTTAATCTGAGGTTGTATTTAAAAATACAACCCAAAATTACCATTAAAGGCAGGAGTCCCCACTCTGTTGTTCTTACTTCACATGCATTCCAGTGCAGTTAATCTGCATAATGTTTAGTATAACACATATGAAGTTGAGTTTTGGATTTTGCCTGATAAAGGTGAGTTGAATGGCTTAGGCTTTTACTGCCAAAAGATATATCAAAAAAAGATATGCAGAGGCTTTAGTTTCAGGAATCCAGTCCAACCTCAGCTCTGCTCTGCACCAGCACCGTCTGTCTGCTCCACTGAGAGTGAAGTTATCCCTTATGGCAAATGGAATCAGCATCGTTGACAGGATAAAGTACAATGCAGTTGGACTGCAATAAAATGAAACTGCTGTTTTTCATTGGTCTCAACTCAGATCAATGTTTCTCAAGAGTGGGACCATTTCTTCTCAGAGTGTTTTAGCTGAGGATTTATTCTTTCAGATGTCCACTGTGAGTCACCTTCAACATCTAGAGACAGAGTGAACCGTATTTTCAGACTACAGCAGAGAAAAGTTATAAATGAAATACGCCTGAGGGATGATCAGCACTCATATAGCTGTGATTGTTGTTTATAATATCCACATTTCTCTACATGGAACTGCTTGCTGTACTTTATTTTGAAATATCCACTGAGCAGCACATACTCATAATAAAGTGGGTTTTCAGAGGGCTTACACAAAATGTGGTTTGCATTAACTACAACACAAAACAAATTAAGGGTGTGTTAGCAAAGCCTGTTTTTCATATGGCTGAGACATATATTTCTGTAAAAATTACAGGGGCCAGGCTGTGGAGTATTTGCTTAGTCTTTAGTCAGGGAAGAGTTCTTGTTGACGTAAATGCTCAAAGACAGGACCCACAAGATTCCTTTTAAAATGTCTTGTTTGCTAAGAAATCTTTTTCAGTTGGTTACCCAAAATAAAATAAATATCAAAAAGCCACAGAAATGGATAAACATTTCCTTGATAGGAGAACCTATGCAAAAGAGTTCCATCACCAGGGCTATGTTGAGACTACGTTGACAATATCTTATGTAGTTATTTTGTCATGTGTTTGGTGGGTTTAAAGTTAACTCTTAATGTTGTCTAAGGCTTGAATAAGTGATACGGTATTTATATAGGTCTTCTCATATTCCAGTCTGACATTGTCTGTTAAGGCAAAGAACTCGCACATAGTCTAAAATACTGTTGAGGTGGAGGCTTCTGAAGTTGGCTTCCATGGTGCCTACACAGATGTTTTCATTCCATGATGTGTTTCTGGAAATCCTTGCATCTGTGGTTTCCAGTATTATGGCTAACAAGATTAAAAACGGCTTCAGCCAACTTGCTTCTGTAATAAGCTGTAAATCAGAGACATCAAGTTCTCAAGCTGCTCATAACATTTCTCTGTGTTAATGTGGAAGGTATCCAGGGAAAGTTTTTCCACCAGGTTTCATTGCATTTTCAAAGGCTTACGTTGATGTTCTTTACATTGGCATCTGTCTCTTAGAGCTGATATCAAGGTTGCATCATCCCGTTTAGAGAGCTTGTCCTCTCTGTTGACTCCCTTTCATGCCCTCTCTCATTACTGTCTTAAAGGAAAAGCCTTACCAGTGTTCTGAGTGCAACAAGGCCTTCAGTCAAAAACGTGGTCTGGATGAGCACATGAGGACCCACACAGGCGAGAAACCATTCCAGTGTGATGTGAGTTGTGCTTCCTTTTAATCTGTCTAATTCAAACTAATTACTTGGGAATAGGTCTCTTTTGGGGGACAGGCTACTTTTTTTGCATTGTGTGTGAATCATGTGCACCCCAGAACTGGAAAAGTAAGCCTTTAGTCAGTGGCTGTTTGCTGCTGCTGACTTCATTTCCGTTGCACAGAGGATGCTGCATGGCAGGCGTTTAGTCATTCTAAAATAGGCCCAAAATTTACTGAACCTTAAGGGTTCAAAATAGTTTCAGTAGCCATGTTTAGTCTGTTGGAACAGAAATTATTAAAAGTCTGGTGGCCCCTTAAAGATTAACAAACTTACTATTGCTGTTAGTAATAGTAGTAGTAGCAGTAGTAGTATTAAAATTATAAATGTGTTTTATGGACTAATAAATAGGCAAGCGAGAAAACAAAGAGAGAAGACAAGAAAGGAGGACAAAAGGAAATAAGCAGCATATAATAAGGGACAAGTCATCTATATTAATATAAATTGATCAAATATGCGCAGAAAAAGTTTTCTTAAAGTTGACATCAGCAAAATAGGCCTTATGTATCTAAAGCTGTAAGATGCTTTGACTACTGATGGATGGACACTGAGTATTTCTGACTTGTATATTTCTAACTTTGAAGTATACAGTGGGGTCTTGACTTAAGAACGGCTCGAGTTAAGAACATTTTGACTTAAGAACCACTCTCATAGGAAAATATTGACTTGACTTACATACTTAGATTTGAGTTAAGAACTGAAAAAAACCACGTGGGAGGCAGGGAAAGTGCAAAATGTGAACTTTCAGTTAACAGTTGGCCAGTGAAAAGGGTGCCTGTCTGCTTCCTCACTCCTCCCAGCGTTTAGCGAGTAGATTGGGAGACAGTCTTCAGACTGCCTGGTACTGTACTGCCTGGACTGTCTTGTCCCTGCCTTCCCTGAACCTTTCTTGACCTAAGAAAAAAAGAAACAAAATATCCCCCTCTAGTGGTCGAAGGCGGAATAGCAGCTTCCCATTAGTTTCTATGGACGGAAAAGAGCAGATACGGATCAAATGGGTTTCAATGCATTCCTATGGGAAATGCAGATTTGACCTGAGAACTTTTTGACTTGAGAACCGCCTTCCAATACGGATTAAGTTCTCAAGTCAAGACCCCACTGTAATTCTTTCAGCTATGGTCAGATCATGGGATCCAAACACACTGGCCATAAGTTAAGTTCCAGCTCACAGATATCTTTTAAGACATACACAAATGTCAGAAATTGTTCTTGTGCAAGATCAGTATGGCACTGACAAATGCATTATGGCACATAGCTTGGATATTCAGAATGCTCCTAGACTTCCTGCTAACCGTAAGAGCCTGTTGTGCTAGCTACACATGTTACCTGCAGCTAAAAGATTTGTAATGGCTCATTTGCAATATGGAATCAACCCCACCCCCACTTCCCGACAGCCATTTGCAGCTGTTTTTTTTTCTTGAATCAGCCACTGCCCATTATTTCCACAGCAGTGCAACTCAAATCCAAGGCTTGCAGAGGTTATTTATTTGGTTCTGGAATCCATCAGCCAGACAGGATTCAGAAATGGCACATGAAATGTATTTCATGAATCTGATTTTTAAAATGTTTGTACCTGTATGGAAAGCTTTTACATTAGATCTGATTTGTGAGAATGTTGATTAATCCTTTCTTCCCATGCCACAGTCCAAATGAAAACAGCCACCTACTGTAGCTGGTATTCTATTTGTGTGCGTGAGTGTGTGCATGCATATGCTATGAGCTGCTATTGAATTTAATTAAAAATAAACATATATTAAAAACAATAATAAGTTTCTCACTTTATCCTTTCCTGCCTTTTAAATAACTAAGATTACAGGCTTCAGTGTTCATACTCTTTACGGTGTCTGTGCCCTTTCTCCATAGTAATTTTTCTTTATGTTAGTGGCCATAATTACATGTGCCGACTCCCCACACGCCAAGGATATGGAAATGCTTTGTGGATATACTATACAGACTGCATCTTTGTTTGTTTTCTTTCAGTTATGCAAGTGATGCAAAGCAGATAACTGCTCTTATGTCTTTACTAAAGTATCTACTAAAAATGCTTACTTTAATTAGATAGTTGGCATTGAAACACATATTATGGGTTTACTTTTCTGGTGATTCTTTCCTTCCTCCAAGTTAAAGTCCTGTTCTCTGTATTAAAATTACATTAAGTTCTTAAATTTAATGATGATGTCTCTTTTTTCTGGACATATGACCATTTCTTTAAAGTCAGTGACATATATGTGAGCTTCTATGTGGGCGTCACACAGGAGATCTCACACCTGTAGATACTAGGCATGTGTTTCCTTTCCTTTCCTTTCGACTCCAAATCCCAGAATTCTCCAAGAATTCCCCAGGCAGAATTTTGAGAGATCCTGCCCGCAAATACAGATCACTGTACAGATCACTACACATCCCTGCATTTCAGTCACCTAGAATAGGCCCTATTTTCTGCTTCTCATTAGGCTCTGTATAGGGTACCCTTAAAGAACTATACCTCCCACAAAGAACTAGATTTCCCTAAAAGCACTGGGGCAGCTTCCATTTTGTAAAAAAATATTTGAAAAGATAGGCATCACAACTCAGTAAACAGCAAAAAGATAAGCAGATAGACAAACCATGATCTTCCCATTCCTAGTTTGTTGGGAGAGATGTCACAACCTTGGCAGGACATAGTACTCTGGCTTGTCTTTCCTCTTACAAGTCAGAGGAATAATTGCAGAACTATTATTTTGCTTTAGTTCTGTGAGTTTCTGGGAGGTTCTGGCATCATATGAAACCAGCTGTGGATGGAAGTCCTACTGGCTTGTTGCGATACTCTAACATGTCCATTATGTCTCATTGGATACCAGATTTGCAAGCCATTGGTTGAAAGGTGCTGCCAAAGCAGGACCTCTGGCTTGCTGTTCTGTCTACATTAGCAGATGCCTGACAAATCGCAGTTAGAGCCATTGCCCAACCGTAAGAGGCTGCTGCATCATGGCAGTAGCAAGGAAACATTAGAAGCTGAGGTGGAATATGAGAGGCAAATGGAGCTGAGCACAGTTTTGTGCCTGATATAAATGATTTAATTCGTATATTACCCTTCTTGCATAGACTGCAATTTAACTGCAATAAACATTGAGATGCTCTGTAGACTTGTAGCAGCTTCCCTTCCATATTGAGAGCTCTGCAAGGCATTATGCTGCCCACTGGAAATGGCATCCCCATGATGAGCTTTCTACTCACACCAGCTGTTGTAGGATGTAAACTGCCTTAGAGCCATGACAATATATCGCTGCCATACAGGGAAAAAATTTTCAATCTGACAGTGGCTGCCAGGAATGTCTTGTCAGGCACAGAAGCTATCAAATCTGATAGCAGTGATCCTCAAGCTGAAATATCATGATATTGTATGAGGACTGAGAGCTCACTCTAAGGATGCTGGTTTTGGTGACATCACCACAGAGATCAGCAGCAACAGTTATAAATAAACTACTTTTTAGTTTATAAGTATATCCCTTCTTACGTTTCCATTTTGTCTATGGAGAGATGGAACATCATGGAGAAGAGACAGGTTAGTTTTCCCCAGGCAAGAGAAGGATTCAGACACATGGTCTTCCTAAAATTGAATGTGTACCATAATAATGTGAACTTGGACTCTTAGCATATATTTTCACCCTTTGTATGCCAAGTCATGAGCTATACTCCCTTAGTGAATGGCTGCCAAGTGGGGTTTTTAGTTGTTGTACCTTAGGCTTACTGCATTGAATGTGTTTTGGTGCTCTTTTTCATAATGTATGCTCATTACTACTAATCTTAGAAACTGCCTTTTAATCATTGTAAGATGCTTTGTATCCTTTTGAAGGAGAAAGGTGGGTTGAAAATATTTTAAATAAATAGATATTACTTTTTAATATTTTCACTAGCAGTAGGCATTTATATTAACTTTACTAAACACTTAAATACATTTAGCTTGAAATTAACTGTGTTCAATACCTGGATAGCATATTTGAAAGCTTTTTCTTTTAGCTTTTAACAATAGTCTAGAATGCAACACAATTCAAAACAAAATCTTTCAAACTTTAATTTTTAGAATGACACCAAAAAGTTGCATTTTGATGATTCACCTTTCCTGTTTGAGACAATCCCTCACAGTTTTTCTCCATATATTCAGTTATTTCTTTACAAATCCTTTGTGCTGTTTTCTTTGTTTTGTTTTAACCTTGGCAATGCAGTTTTTATTTATTTGTAGGCTTTTGAAATGTTACAGTTATAGCTTATCAAGAGGAATTTACCGCTCAGTGAAGAAGGGTATTAAGTGTGCATCTGTAAGCAGTTTATTCTTCTCGTTTTGCAAAAATAATGTGCCATTGTTAAACTGTCATCACTGTATGATCGAGATTCATTAAAAGCTACTTACTGGTAGCAGAATTTGACACAGCCCATCTGCTGAGGATGATACTCTCACAATTTATTTCCAGTAAGATAAATGATACAGTTGAGATATTCATACATCTGCATTTGTGCAAATGTTGTCATGTGTATCTTCTGAGCTTAATATATTTGTGACCTCACCACTCATTACATGTACAGTTTCATGTTTCTACTAAAGGAGTTCTTTTATATTTGCCATTTAAATGTGCAAAAGTGGCAATCTCCTGTTTACCAATTAAGGATCTCTTGCTTAATTAGCAGGGGCCACTGGTCTACTGAGTTGTATTTGATTATGTTAAGCACACAGGCAAGGTAGAAGGGTCATGATTTCCAATATGACACATGAAAGTGGGGGCATTCTTTCAGCACCCCCATTATCACAGTCACCACTTGGCCAGCTGTAATTTATTTTCTCCGAAACCAATTTCACCAGTTTGAAAGCCAAGATTGTGCTTGTTCTTTTGCTTAAAGATAGAGGGCGAGAAAGACAAAGAGAGAGTGATACCAAATAGGCCAAGCACAGAGTTGAACCTGAATTGTGGCCTAACAATCAAAGCTATATACCACATTAACCCTTTCTCTCTCCCTCTGTTGTTCTATTCTTTAAAACATTTCTTAGAAAGTATACCCATTAAGTGATACTGATCCAGACTTCACTAGCATCACTATGCCTGTGTCCCTCTGTTTCTAAATACAGACTATATAAAGTCTGTTGTTACTCAGTAGACCTGCAAGGAGAGATCTCATAATAATCTCATAATAATGCAGCTGAACACCTACAGGGGAAACACTGTTCATAAAGCTTCATGCCTCTCATGCCTTTCATACTGTGTCATTTTTTAAAACTTAAACCCCTAATCCATGGATAAACTTCAGCTGGAATATAGGTATTTCTTCTATTTCACTGTGTGAAGTGCACAATGTCACTCTTGTTCCTCAGGTTAAGTTATTCCTGAAAGCAGTTTCTTTCAGCTAAGGCTGGGGTGCCAAAACTCACTGGTAAAGGTGCCACCATACTTCAATGTCTTATTCCCCAAAAAGCACTGGGCTAGATGCAGATCTTTGGCATCTTATAGAGCCTATTCTTCCAGAAGTTTTGAGATGGAACAGTAGTCCAAAGTTTAGTTTAGGGTGCACCTCCATCTGGTTCCTTTTTAGTTTATTCTGTATGTATTTCAGCCATCATTGCCATTGTTAATAACAGTAGACTTGACCGTGTCTGTTGTCCAAACAAAGTATTGAGATGGTACCATGACACCTCGTAGAGGACAAAGGTGTATGTGATCACTTGGACTTGTGTTGTCTGCCTTTTACTGGTTCTGTCTTAAACAGGTCATTTCAATTTGCAGCATAGCAGGGCTTGGTCTGAATAAGATTTATATGAATTGTTTGTACCCAACAAGAACTATGTCAACAAAACAACCCAAAATAATGTTTTCTGCACGTCTGCCACTGTTTTTGTTTGTTTTCTGCTTGATTCTCTTGCAATACAGACCTTGCTAAAAATTACATTCACTGTTATTTGTCACATATGGGAAGAATTCACCTTGATCATGGACAGAAAGGCAGAACTATGTGTTTGTCTGCCTTCTGCCTCCAAAAGGAGAGACTGCTTGTTGGAATCTATATCAAAACATTGTTAGCATGGGTCAGTGTACAAGTGTGCCAAATTCTTATGCTTCTAAACCAAAGTGTAGGATTTTAAGCTTAACTGTTCTTCCTCCTTCACTCTCTAAAAATATTTTTTGACTACAATCTTTTGACAAAAAGAAAAGGTGACATTGTTAATAACCCATAAAATATCCATCTGTTAAGCGTTGAGGTAGGAAATATGTTAGCTCTCAAGTCCAAAATGGGGAAGAGGAACATGATGTCATGGATGTATTAGTCCTCAGATACTGGATTAGGAAAGTGAGGCAATAAATACTGGACTAATCTAGAAGAAACATTTATCATGGTCTGGTTTGGTTTTGCATTTTTGCACCATCCCATTTTTGTGAAGGGTGTCTAACATGATTTTCCTCACCTACATGTCTTGCATATCTTTATTTTGTGATTGGTTATTGGAAGATAAAAATGGACTTAATTTGTAAGAACTATTGCTAAAGGAGGTAGCTCTGAGAAAATATCATACTGTGTGGGGACAAATTAATGATAATGAATACATATTCTTTTTAATATCTAGCTTGACCTATTGGCTGAAACCCTGTTGCTTCACACCAGCCAGATCATAATGTGATTGGTTATTGGAAGATAAAAATGGATTCAGCTAGCTCTGAGGAAATATACTGTGTGGGGACAAGTTAATGATAATGAATACATATTTTTAATATCTAGCTTCACGTATTGGCTGAAACCCTGTTGCTTCACTCCAGCCAGATCATAACTTTCATCTTGTTCCTCCCTTGTGACAGGTCTGTCACAATTCCTGGAGGTACATGCATACATCATCTTGGTACACACACGCATCTTTCAGCCTGTTCCTCCCTGGTAAACAAACTGGTCTGTCACAATTCCTGGAGGCACATACATACATCGTCTTGGTACACACACACAAATGTCCTGAGAATTATGCTTGTTTTATCAGGGAGGAAAGGACTGGAGGTTACAATTTGGCTTATGGGAAGCAACAGGATTTTGACTATTGTGTTTACTACTTCCTGCTCAGACTAAGGAAGACTTTGTTGATGATAAGGTTTTGTATAATCTGGTGTGGCTCCATTGGTTTATGAAGCCCAGATAATCATCTTCAAGCTGTGAAGGTACCTTAATTATTCTTTATGCTAGTAAGCACCCTTGAGCAACAGAGACTAGTGTGGCTGATTTGGCTGAGGGCTTTAGTAGGCAAGATATTAGGTAGTCATGTAAATAAGATGACATGTCTAAAATGGGCCTTTAACAAGTCAATGTCCTGACCCAGCAGGACAATGGAACAGTCTGAGACCCAGAACCTGGTCATTCCTTACATGACCACCTAAAAGACCAGACACCAAAACCCAACAGGAGCAATACAATATATATGGTCCAATGCAAAGAGGAGTGTTTGGAGCTCTACATTAGAGAAACCAAAAAGACACTAAACAGGAGAATGGCCCAGCACAGAAGGGGCAACAGCCCAGGACCACAACAGCAATGTTCCTTCATTTGAAGGATAAGGGACACTCTGATGACTAAGACGCAGGAGAATGGCCCAACACAGGAGGGGCAACAGCCCAGGACAACAGTCAGCAGTGCTCCTTCATTTGAAGCACACTCATTTGATGACCATGATGTACCTATTTTGGACTGAGAAGATAGGTGGTTTGAGAAAGGGGTAAGGGAGGCCATCCATGTGCATATAGAAAATCCCTCACTCAACAGGGGTAGAGGCCTTAGTCACAATCTGTATCCTGTTTATCATGCTGCCCTTTTATCCATCCCCAGAAAGATTAGGAACACACCCACCAGAAAGACCACTGTTAACAACCCTTGAGAATGAGTGGGGAAGGATTGCAGAAGAGGGATTTTCACTCCCTCCGCCCCCCCCCCAGTCCTTTGTCCATTCAGACCAGGGGGGAAGTGAAACCAATGTGGAGGATATATCAGGGGTCTCCTACCAACTCCTCAGACTGAAGAAGCTACTTGGATGAGTAGTGAAATATTTGAACCTAATAAGAAAGAAGTCCAGTTGCCATGACTCAACTTCCAGATAACCTCACCTGGATGACTGAGAAGCTTCACAGATAAGATGACATAAGTGACTGTCATATACACATACAAAATTACCCTTTGTGGCCATACTATGTGTCACGTTCCCACGTGGCCTTTGGTCATTTCACCAAGCAAAGGTGCACGCTACGTGTCGTTCAGCTGCCACCAGTTGATTACATCAATTTGGTCAATGACCGAGATCCAGGCAACGTATCATTTAAGAACCAAGTAGAAATTGTTTATTGTTACAAATGATAAAAGTCGTCAATATCGTTAACTCTCAACTAAACAAAACCTTCTTTCTCCACTCTCATCCGCCTACTCTTACTCTCCCTCTCTTTCTCCTTTTCTTTTCCCCCACTTAACATCACCCCCGACTCCTATTGGTGCATGCAAATTTCATCCTGAATATTAATGAGCAGAGTGAACGCTACAGTATGTAATCCTGTGAAACTGAACCACTCTGCTCTCCTTTCTCTCCCTCTCTCCTTGTCTAATACTCTTGGGGAACCTGGTAATAGTCTTGAGGAGGCTGCTTTCCCAGGTGTGATGCCAGCACAATCATTTTCCATCAAAAAATTGGGAAGTTGTGTTCTGGCTTATCTGAAATTATTTATAATGTTGACTGTTGAAATATCTATGACTTTTTAAAAAAAAATTATTTCAATACGTTGATTGTTTGTTTGTTTTGGCCTTTTATCTGTGATTTAGGTTTGCGACTTGTCGTTCAGCCTGAAGAAAATGCTGATCCGGCACAAGCTGACTCACAACCCCAACCGCCCCATGGCTGAATGCCAGCTGTGCCACAAAAAGTTCACAAGAAATGACTACCTCAAAGTACACATGGAAAATGTCCATGGAGAAACAGACAGCTGATTTGGGCTTCCATGAGAGAGGGTGTCCAGTGTTCACTCCAGAATTATCACCTGATGAGTGAACACAAGACTGGGGGGGGGAGGGGAGAGAGAACTTGAATTTGTTCACATAATTGCTTTTATTTCATTGTTGCCTTTGCATTTAAGTTCAAACTGTTTTTAAAAAAGTGTTCTAAGTTAAACAAGGTTAGAACAGAAATAAGTAAGTAAGGAATGAATATTCCAGAGGCTGGAAACAGTTCAATTTTTGGACTACATGCTGGCTGGGAGATTGTGGGAGTTATAGTTCAAGAAACTAACCTTTCTGGAAGGTAAGAGATCATTTTACGTGGATAAATCATTTTCAAAATCTGTCATCACATGTAACATGCACCTATATATTTCAGTAGGAATCCAACAGACACCCTGTTCCAGTTACTTATTCCAGAGAAACTTCAGACTCCAGTCATTCTGGGGAATAAGTACATATCTCTCCCCTACCTCATCCATTGTTTTTGATGAGGATTCCCCCTTCTACCTTAGTAAAGCAAAAGTGAATACATTGCTACATGGTGTTTATTGAAAGACCACCTGTTTTGTTTTCACTGAGGTTTAAGTACCATGGAGCTCACTGGGAGCTACTTCCAAGTATGACTCCTTAGAAGTCCACTATTTATCCTGGAAACAATGTAAATACCATTTCTGGATGTGAGTAAACATCCGATTACTGTAGGAATATATTTGTAGGCAGTATAAGGCTCTCTAGCTGCTGCTCCCGGATTTTGGTCAAATTCAAGCTACCAACATGAATTTGACCAAACTCCGGGAGGCAGTAGAAGACAGGAGGGTCTGGCATGCTCTGGTCCATGGGGTCACGAAGAGTCGGACACGACTTAACAACTAAACAACAACAAAGATGCTACTGGGCTGCTTCCATTATCCTCCATCACTTGCTACTGGTTAGGGCTGTTGGGAGTTGCAGTCCAACAAAGTTTGTAGGGACCCATGTCCCTCACCCCCTTTGGTGGTATCTAGGTGTGTGGCATTTTCCCATCCAAAATAACCCCATAAAGTTAGTGCCATTAACTCCAGAACTTTTCACTTTCAAGCTTGACGTTTTATATCCTGGGTATAGTAGCCAGGTTTCTCAGTGACCTTAATCGACTTTGTAGTTGCACAAACTGAGATCCAGGACCTCAGCATACAATACTATATAGACTGTACTGTAGCATCTGTTTGCAGATGGCAGATGGATGTCGTGCAACAGTTTCTTATGATGTACATTATAATATTGGCTCGGTTTTCATCTACCAGTGAACTGACTTCTATTCTGTTCAACAGCCTAATTATTCCAGCAAAGTTTATTCTGGTTTACAGTTATTTCAATTACTGAAATAAAAAAATGTTTTTCAAACCCCGCTTGGTGGTAGTGGCTTCAGCATGGTTGGTATTACATTGGATTGCCATAGTGCAAGGCAAACTAGAAATAAACACTGAGTGATTTGTGTTGAAATGCTATGTTAGCACTAATGTAATATGTGCTAATGCCAAGGGAAGAGGAAACCAAATCTTAGAATGGTATCCAATATCCTGTTAAGGCAACGAACATGTAATTAAGTTGCTTCGAAGAACTTCTTCCCCCTAGTGCGGTTTTGCACAGTTGAGAAAGAGACTGGGTAATCTTTCTTTATTCATATCAGAGTGTTGCACAATTTGAAACAAATCTGTCATTCATATTCATATTTTTTTATAAAGATCAAGACTGAGTTAAGAATAATTTGCTTACAGCACGACTTTTTCAGCGAGTGGTTTCCCTGTTATTTATGGATTGTCTCTAAATTTTATGCTTAAATAACTGAAGTCAAGGCATGGCTAAAAGGATGTAAAGAAAGCAGTAGCATGCCATCTTTGAAGGGTACAAGGTTGTTTTAGGACACACATGTTTGCAAGTGAATGTTTTTCAGCTAGTCAAGTATTGTAAAAGTGGGTCCAATGTCAGCCTGCCAAAAAATCAGGACTGAAGAGGAGGGAGTGGGGAGAGAGCTGGTGAATGCAGGTACATGGGCCATCATGCCATTTGGGGCAAAAGTGTACAAAGCTTCACTGAACCAGTAACCTCTGGCATTAACATTCTCCTCTTCTAGTGCTGTTTGTCCTGAGGCTTATCTCCCTGCCTGGAGAATTAAAGAAGCATAGTAATTCCCTGAGACTGTACCCAACACCCTGAAACCTAAAAACATTAATTCTGCCCTACCAACTATTGGCATAGATGGGCAATAATGGCCCTCCAGATTTTTCTTTTGGACTAAAGCTCCCATAATCCCTCACTGTTGGCTGTGATGGGATTTTGGGTAAGGAGATATTTAGAGGCTAAAGTTGCTTATCCCTGGCCTAGACCCATAACTCACATTTTATAATGCTTTGTTCTACCCTAATACAGCTTCTGATTGGCTTTTCGCAAGCCTTCGCTCTTATTACATATGTAAGGCCTATCCAGATAGTAATCCTGAAAGCATGTAAAGTTCAAGCATGGTCTACAACTCAGTCTTAATTAGGTGCAATGTGGACTTCCTTCCCTTCACTTGTTCTATAAAAAACTTTCAACAGTTAGGTTAAACACAAGGAAAGAAAAGAGAGGGGAATCAGGACATACATTCCCCCTTTTGTCTCTTCTCCCACAATGCACTCATCTGCCATTATTCCAGAGTGGCTCTTAGGTCTGGAACTCTTTTTCAGAAATCTGTATTTAAGTCACTTCTTAACAAATTTCATCAGACTCTAATCTGCAATACTGCAAATCTGGTAAACTTTGTATGTGTTCTGAACACAAATCCTGGTGTGTATCTCTTTCTCTTTCACACAATCCCTTTTGTGTTTTGCTTCCTGTTCTAATCATAAGCTCCATGGAAAAGGAGTCAGTTACAATGTTTAGTCTGCAGAATGAATTCATCCTCAAATGCACCAAGAGAAAGACTAGTTTCACACACAGTGTTTCTTCTGCATAAGTGGATACTGGGTTCTCCTCTTGACTGTTTTGGGAAAGTATTTCAGGCAATAGGAGAGCTAAGTAAAAATTAAACAGTAGCAAGACAAATAAGAATGAGGACTTTGTTAAAAATATATATTAAATACTTATTACTCAGCACACGTTTACTGTTTTATGGGGCATTTCTATCCCGGATTTCTCACAAAAAAATCATGTTTTAGATTTTAAAACTATCATTATTAAACAATGGTAAGCCAAGCAACAATTAAAGGACCTGTGAGAAGTGATTATTACTGCTATATAGTAATGAATGAGTGCTGAAGGGCTTTAGGAACCTGCTTCCTACAGTGGTCTTATCGGAACTTTGGCACAGCGTAGGTCATTTAGAGCTGTTCATATTTCAGGTAACACAGCAGCCTAAGCTAGTAGAAGGCATTTCTTACCACACAGGCATCCTCTGCTTCAGCACAAAGGTGAGCCAGTTAGCCAAACTAGAGTGCTATTTTGTTATTCAATGGGAATGGAACCCAGGGGGGCATTAAGCAAAGCGTGCTGCTTCTATACCACCCTGTATTTCAGGTAACACAGCAGCCTAAGCTAGCAGAAGGCATTTCTTACCACACAGACATCCTCTGCATTCAGTACAAAGGTGAGCCTTAGCCAAACTAGAGTGCTATTTTGTTATTCAATGGGAATGGAACCCAGGGGGGCATTAAGCAAAGCGTGCTGCTTCTATACCACCCTGTAGCACTTCAAGCAGTCTCTGGGCGGTTTACAAGTTAATTATGCAGGTGACACATTACTAATCTGAACACCTAGCCCCAAATACCTCCCTCTTCTCTGAATTGAGTGCCAAAGTATTGGTCAACCAGTACATTGCTGCTGACTAGCAATCTCAAATCTTTCCTAGGTCTATTTGGAGTGGTCAGGGAATGATGTTGCAAACAACAGGGAAGGGGACTTGCACAGAACATGCACCATGCACATGCTTCTAGTGGCTTGTGCAGCAACAGCAACAACAGGAGTTATATAGAGATTTTTGCGCAATTCCTAATTCATAGTGTGATGAAGTTCTATAGCCAGCACTACCTTATACAGCCATTACTATGTGGCATTTGAGGCAATGTGTCTTCAGAAGAATTCTATCTCATCCTCATCAAATTAAAGATCCACGCACAAGGGTACTATTTGTTACTCTCCACTGTGAGCAGCAAAGTGTATTATCAAGGTAACTACCATTAGCATGCACTCACTCAATAAGTTTGAATCATTTCTGTAAGTGGAATAAGGAGGTTCAGAGATACTTTACAAGCTGCTGCTTCTGTAGAGGTGTAATTTGAGAACCATTGTTCTGTCAAATCTTCTCTCAGATATTCATAAATGAACTTTCAGCTGTCAGTTGCACTGACAGGCACACATGGGATTTCTAGTTTAAAAGGCTTATAGTAACTGACTTTATTGAATCATGTCACTTCTGTTTAGCAGTTATAATTCACTCAAGCACATTACTGTGTGACAAACAGTCTAATCAGCTTTGCTCAATGTAAAACCATAGAGTTAGACAGGAGCCTAACAGCTTTACAGTGACCAAAGTCATTCAGACCATTTATATATAAATCAAAGAGAAATACTGTAGTCTATATTGTACTCTGTAAAATGGCCCCTACAAGAAAGCATATCCAACTGTTGTTTAATTTTTTTAAAAAAAGTCACTAATAGAATACTGTCTCATCCAATATGCACACATACCAATAGTGATGTGCATTAGATCCAGATAAATTTCCATGTGAATTTGTACTTTTTGGATAAGGGTTAGTACTTTCCAAGAGGAAGCAGGCCTTGCTACAAAGCTACCTGAACCAAAGTCTGGATGAAGCTTCATACTGGATATCACCTTCAAGAAGACAAGAAATTTAAAAAAAACATATTTCTTGTCCTGTAAAAGTGCCCAGTGTGAAGAAGAGGACAGGGAATGATTTGAGTGACTGACAGGTCCATTTCTAATCCCTGAGCACAGTTTACATCTTGCCTTGGGAGAGAGAAACTGAGTTACAAAAACATGTAGCTGCTTCCAGTTTCCTTTCCATTAAGTTGCCATTTACTCTTGCAAGCAGAAAATGCTTTACATTTTATTTTTAGGGTTCAAGTGGAGTGT